AAAAAATGGGATATATGTATGATACCCAGTTTGTTTTGTAGAATTCAAGGCTGAAATTTTTTTGACCTTGGTGATGCGCACAGCTCATTGATTAAACATACTGTTCACCACCTTTTATTGTTGTTTTAACTGTGCCTTTCTTTCCAGAAAATCACAACAAAGAATGTATTTGGCTTACACCTCATTGACTATATGACTGAAATACTCAAGCAGAAAGATTCCGAGCTCACCAACTTCAAGGTCAGGTTTCTTCCTAATTTGACTTCCTTAGATGTACATAGAATATGAACAGCAAACATTGGGTTATCTCTCATATTGCGTGTTGTGCACGACTGAGTAGAATAGAATAACAGAGTTGGAAGGGACCTTGGAGGTCTTCTATCCAAACCCCTGTGGTTTGAGAGACTGTGATGCCTGGGCGATGAGCATGAAACTATGGAACCGTTTCCTCTTGGTTACATTCCTTTCGGAAGAACCCTCTCCTTCCAATACCTGGCCAGCATTCTAGAGATTTATGGAACAAACCTATCTGGAAGACTGCTAGAAATAAATAAAGACCAGCCATTCCCCACCTCCCAAACAGGTGCATCTGTCCACTTTCTATTTGCTCCTGAGAGTCCTGGGGCCTATTGTATGTCCATTGAAAGACTGCAAAAGTCATTTTTGCTGAGATATGAAAACAATGAGTAATATTCCTGGCCCTATTTCTAAATTAAGCTGATCTTCCATGTTGGTTTGGAAAGCCCTAGTTTGAGATGAACAGGTAGAGGAGAAAAGAAAAGGCAAAGAATAAAAGTTCTGTTGGCTATTACTCAAAGACATTTAAGACAGCGGTCACCAACCTTTGGCCCGTGAGAAAATGTTGGTGGTCTGCAGAAAAATTATTTGCGTTTTTTATATGGCACTAAATCAGGGGTCCTCAAACTACAGCCCCTGGGCTGGATACGTGCAATGAAAGTTTGTATTGCTGCAGAGAGTCTCCGCCTTCAGGGTTTTTTTGTGCGGGTCGGAGAAATTCCGACTTGGGTCTGCTTCAGCCTCTTGGTTGGCTGCTTTGGGCAAAGGCTGGTGGCGAAGAGCCAGAGGGCCTCATTCCAGTGGGAGTGCATCATGGCCTGGAACTGGCTGACCATCTCAACCCGCTGAGCCTCCAGGCGCAGGTACTTGGCCTTGCACTCCCGCAGGTCTTTCCTTTGCTTGGAAAGCCTATGCTCCTAGTCTTCAGTGAGGTGCTTCTGCTGAGCCTCCTTCTCGGTCAGTTCCAATTTGAACTGAGCCA